CCATCAAAAATCAGATGGGCTGGACACGAAATGAGGTTTACAGACAACCACTGGCCTAGACCCATTACTGACTGAATTCCACGGGATGTCAAAAGACTGCTTGGACGCCCACCTACAAGATGTTCAGACTTCTTCCTCAAGACCCTCAAAAATCGGTTTGAGGCTCTCCATGTTCCTAGAACAAACAGATGCCATTGGGCTACACTAGCATGCAACAGGCATGCATGGAGACGTTACTGACACCCACTTGAAAAAATCGATGAATAAAGGGAGATCAATTGATATATTTTTCAGGTTTTAGATTTACTGCTTTTGTGCAGCAACATGGTTGAAACTGGAAGATACTGTCTTCAGTGAAGTTAGCCAGAAAAAGAAACAAAAACAGGATGCTGTTCACTCATCTGTGGAATACCGAACACTGGATATGGAAATGTAATGTAAAGTGGCTGCTTAAATCATCCCTAATTCCCGTGTTTAGAGAGAAGCCGGACAAAGAAGGAAAGAAATTTGGGGAGGAAGAGACCCAGAAGTTTACAGGGATCAGGGATTCATTTATGCCAGTGACATGCGTGAGGAGTGTAGCCATTTACCCAAAACACAGATGCAACACAACTAAAACAAGAGATCTAAGCTGTAACCACTGAAACCTAGTCATGTGCTTTTCCGGATGACAGGCGGGGGCAGAGTGGGCACCTGGGTGGGGAGGGAATACGGGAACACGGGTTGAGGGAAGCTGATGAAGGAATTGGTGTTCAATGATTGTACACCTAAATACAACTATCAATAACATTGGAAATACTGGCATTTTAATGAAAACTTTAAAAAACAATACAATAAAATAAATTTCCAGATTTCAGCACCCACTGAGGTTAAAGACCCTCTAGTCCCAGCATTAGACTCTGATATTTTTCCTCTGATGGTGAGGCCATAGATGTGGTTGTGGTGATGGAGCCGGAGCCCACCCTTCAAGTCGCATGCTCGGTCCACTGAGCACTCCAATGGCATAATAGTTTCAACAAGAGAATCTTACAGCACACTTGTATGCAATACCCCTGTTCCCTAAAGAAATTCCTGTAATGCCACATCCTAAACTTGTGATTTGAGTTCTGAACTCAAACAAAATGCACAATGAGAATTAGTCCAATGTTGAATGGAATGCAGTTGAATGACCAAGCAGTTGGAGGACATCTGCATAGTTCGCACAGTCCAAGCAAGCCTACAGAAAGGGAAAATCTGCGGGAAGTGTTGCTGGGAGGAGCTCGGCAATCACCCAAAACATCCTTTTGGGTTTTGTTTTTAATCAGACCCAGTGATGCTTGGGATACCATAGGGGAAGCTGGACATCGAAGTTAGGGGGCATCTGTAAGGCGAGAACAGCAGTGATGCACTGCTGTTCTGGTCCTAATTACATTCACTCTGGGCTCCCAGTCAGAATTTAACATACACACAATAAAACATTTTTTGGTGCGTACAAGCGTACAGTAGATAGGCATTTGCCTAGCATGAGGCTGACAAGGTTTGATCCTTGAACACTGCTAAAAGCAACTTTCGAGAACCACCAGAAATAACTGCTGAGCATCCCCAGGCCCCATAACAAAAGAAAACTCAATTTCTTCCCATATTCAAAAACCCATGACAATGATCCAAAGGCAAAGATATGGATGGTGTCAGATTGACTGAGCGGGGTCCAGAAAGGGTGCCCGACCCTTTAGTTGTACAGTCTGGCCAGTTATACAACTGGGAAAACAAGAGCCTTGAAACACATGGACTACTTGACATACCTGGCAGATAGGGAAGAATCACAACAAAATCAAGAAAGCAAAGCACTGGATTTCTCGGTAATGAACAGCTCCGGGGAGAAGACACCCCTACCCCATGCCACACCCACACACTACATGTTCTAGGGATGAGAAGGGGACGCTCAATGTCCAATGAGCAATGAAAAGATGTTGTGGACTGGAGGACTCCTGGGTTGGCCACATGCAAGGTACACATCCTACTTGCTCTACTATTACTCTAGCTATTTCTAAATAAATGGGAGAAAACGGGGGAAAATGGGAGAGCACTTATAAAGCTTTCAGGTTTAAGTATCGGTCATACAATGAAACACCCATCCCTTCACCTTGCCCATTTTCCATCACTAAAAACCCAAGTATAACGCCACTCCACAGCCTTCCTCTACCTGTGGGGCAGATAATTTCCACATTCTTCTCTCTACTTTGATTACATGCAATATTTTGACACAGACCCACCATTATTATTTGGGATTTTACTCCGGCACTTAGATCTGGTGAAAACGCAACAGTAGACAATTATTTTTCGATTGCTGGTTATAAATAACATATGACTTTGGAATTCTGAAACTTTAACAACTAAATCTGGAGGGATTTCTGCAAAAACCTGCTGGGTTCCGAGATTTGTTCCTGAGTCTCTGGGATTATGGCCATTACACAGCTTTATCACGAGCCAGAGAGGTGGTTCGTGGGAATGACTTAGGCTCTTGTTGGGGTGGGGAGGAATTGGCCATCTCCACACCCATCCTGCGAGGCCCCATGTATCTTCTTGAGTGTGGGCCCAAACCTGACTTTCCAAAGGCCTTTGGCAGATGGAGGCCACCGAGCTGCCAAGGGGGAGCAGTTAGGGGGACAGCACCAATTCCCCCTGGGGTGGACATGGGACAGTAACCTACTGCAGGGTCCAGATGCATTTCTACTGAAAGGCACTGGGTTTCGAGATTTGTCTCTGAATCTCTGGGATCATGGCCATTACTCACCTTGATCACAAGCCATAGAGGTCAATCATAGGTGCCAGACAACTCGGGGTTTCATTGGGGTGGGGCGGAAAGGGCCGGCTCCACCACCATCCCATTAGGCCCTGGATGTCTCCTCACTGCAGTCCCAAACATAACTGTCCAGAAGCCCTCAAAGATGGCGGCCACTGAACCGCCAGGCACGAAACCTATTCCCACCTGAAATACCCAGCTTTGGTAACCTACTGTGGGAACAGAACACATTTCTGCTGAAAGCCGCTGGGTTCCGAAATTAGTTTCTGAGACTCTGGGATTATGGCCATTAAACAGAGTGATCAAGAGCCAGAGAGTTCGTACATGGGCAGCGACTCGGGGTCTCATTGAGGTGGGTAGGAAAGTGCAGCGCCCAGCCCAATCCCATGAGGCCTTGCATGTCTTGTCACTGCAGGCCAAAACCTGTCTGTCCAATGGCCTCTGGAAGATGCTGGCCACAAAGCCACCAAGTGCGATCAGGCAGAGACACACACCGTTTCCCCCTTGTGGTGGTCTGTCGCCAGTAGCTCATTGCGGGTATGGGGCGCATCTCTGCAAAAAGCTGCTTGGTCCCAAGATTTGTCTCTGGGATCATAGCCTTTAAGAGGTTTGATCAGGAACCAGAGAGACCTTGCCTCCAATTATATAGCTGAGCAGGAAATGGTTTGTTGGTGTGTCTTGCACATACCTAACTTTGGCTGTTTACTTTCTTGGAAGACTTTGCCCAAAGGTTTTGGAGTCTGGCCAAAGGCACAGCAGCAATTTTGGAGTATCTGGAAGTCTGATGGTGCAATCAGGCTGCTGATGCAGTCGCCTTACAGGCACAGATTGACCTGCTGGCGGTACCATACTCCTGGGTTGTAGAAATTCTATATATGAGGAAAAAACACCAATAGTGGGGTTGGAATCACTGTGAAGCGACTAGGATGCTAGCCTTGCTGACCCTAGTCAAACCTCCCCATCCGATAGGTACCCAGCAGCACCACAGAATAATGCACAACCAGAAGTAAACCTTGTGCATCAAAGAATCCCTTCCAACTCCCCTGAATAAAAGCAGCTATTAAAATTAATCCAAAGAGGGGCTGAAGTGATAGCAGAGTGGGTAAGAGGTTTGACTTGCACGTGACCAACCCGGTTTCGAATCCCAGAAACAATATGGTCCCCTGAGCTTTACCAGGAGTAATTCCTGAGTGTATAAGTCAGGAGAAACCCATGTGAAACGCGGAGTGTGACACAAAAAGCAAAAAATATATATATATAATCCAAAGAGTAAATTTTCAAGGCATATACCTCTCACTTGTCTAAACACGCCCCAAAGTGCGAAACCCAGCACTGAAGCCAATGAAAATGACTGACGGCAAAAGTGCCCTTTCCTTTGGGGCTGCCAGTGAACATATCTGGAGTTTCAATAAGTGTTATGTCCAGTCCAAAGACTCCAAACAGGGTCCTTCACAGTCTCCAGTAGGGAGGAACGAGATGACCAAGACCCCCACTCTTTGCAGGCTCCTCACACCAAGGCCTGAAGTCCATGTGCCCAACCTCCAGTGCCGTCTTGGACCTGGATCGATGGTGGCTGCAGGGGCCCTCAGGATAATGCACCCTCACCCATGACACCTGAGCCACAGAACAGCACACAATGCACCCCTCAAAAGCTCCACATCCACTAAAGCCTGGATATCCAGAACAAGTAAGGACCAAGCGTGAATGCACCATACAAGCTGGCTTGACCTATGCTCAAGTTGCCAAACCAGGATTTGCAGGGTGCTCAAGCATCCAAATCCTAACAGGAAATACTGAAGAATGAAGGATTACCTATTTTTCCATTTTCATAGTATTCAATGCTGCATCTTGGTTGATTTCTGCCATAATTCCCGCTAAACCAGTCCCTCTGGGCCAAGCCAGAAGCATAGCAAACAATAACCGAGTAGTGAGCCATGACAGCTCTGAGCAGGAGGGTATTTCTGTACCTGTTTATTGAGTCACCTTCCTCCTTATTTTCATCACCATGGCCCATTATTTACAAGTTAACACACAAGCAATTCCAAGCACAAGAATACTGGCATAGGTGCAGCCCGAGTGAAATTCAGGTTTCAGCAAAGGACTTCCCACATTCCTTACATATATACGGTTTCTCTCCAGTGTGAATTCTCCTATGTACACAAGGTTTCAGGCTTCAGCAAAGGACTTCCCACATTCCTTACATACATTGTGGTTTCTCTCCAGTGTGAATTCTCCTATGTACACTAAGTCTTGAGGCCAAAGCAAAGGCCTTTCCACATTCCTTACATATATACGGTTTCTCTCCAGTGTGAATTCTCCTATGTACATTAAGGCTTGAGGCTGTAGCAAAGGCCTTCCCACATTCCTTACACATATACGGTTTCTCTCCAGTGTGAATTCTCTTATGTATAGTAAGTCTTGAAGCTCTAACAAAGGCCTTTCCACATTCCGTACATATATAAGATTTCTCTCCAGTGTGAATTCTCCTATGTACATTAAGGCTTGAGGCTTTCGAAAAAGCCTTCCCACATTCCTTACATATATGCGGTTTCTCTCCAGTGTGAATTCTCCTATGTACACGAAGGCTTTAGGCTTCAGCAAAGGACTTCCCACATTCCTTACATATATACGGTTTCTCTCCAGTGTGTATTCTCCTATGTACATTAAGGCTTGAGGCTGTAGCAAAGGCCTTTCCACATTCCTTACATATATAAGGTTTATCTCCAGTGTGAATTCTCCTATGTACATTAAGGCTTGAGGCTGTAGCAAAGGCCTTCCCACATTCCTTACATATATATGGTTTCTCTCCAGTGTGAATTCTCCTATGTACATGAAGGTTTGAGGCTCCAGCAAAGGCCTTGCCACATTCCTTACATATATACGGTTCCTCTCCAGTGTGAATTCTCCTATGTACATGAAGGCTTGATGCTGTAGCAAAGGCCTTTCCACATTCCTTACATATATACGGATTCTCTCCAGTGTGAATTCTCCGATGTACACTAAGTCTTGAGGCTACAGCAAAGGCCCTTCCACATTCCTCACATATATATGGTTTCACTCCAGTGTGAATTTTCCTATGTACATTAAGTCTTGAGGCTACAGCAAAGGCCTTTCCACATTCCTCACATATATAAGCTTTCTCTCCAGTGTGAATTCTCCTATGTACACGAAGGCTTGAGGCTTCAGCAAAGGACTTCCCACATTCCTTACATATATATGGTTTCTCTCCAGTGTGTATTCTCCTATGTACATTAAGGCTTGAGCCTGTAGCAAAGGCCTTTCCACATTCCTCACATATATAAGGTTTCTCTCCAGTGTGAATTCTCCTATGTACAGTAAGTCTTGAAGCGCTAGCAAAGACCTTTCCACATTCCTTACATATATACAGTTTCTCTCCAGTGTGAATTCTTCTATGTCCACTAAGATTTGAGGCTTTCGCAAAGGCCTTCCCACATTCCTTACATATATACAGTTTCTCTCCAGTGTGAATACTTCTATGTACACTGAGGCCTGAGGATCGAATAAAGTTATCAGCACACTCCTGACATATATAAGGATTCCCTCCACTATGAGTTTTCATAGGTCTATTAAGACTAGAGGTCTGAAAAAAGGCCTTCCCACATGTCTGACATTCATGAGGTTTCTCTCTTGTATGAATTCTCCTATGCATAATAAGATGTGATGATTGATTGAAGGCCTTCCCACATGCTTCACATGCAAAAGGTTTCGCTCCTGAATTTATATTCATATGGTCATGATGGAGTAACCCTTGACTCAAACTTTGTTCTTGGGGCTGACTTTTCTGGGGATTCTGTCCACTGTGGTTTTCTAAGGGAACACCACAGTGCTGAGAACATGGGGAGGCTCCCCCACATTCCTTACACGTAGACGGGTTCTGCTCATGGTGACGGGTTCTGCTCACGGTTGAGGGTATGTTGCTGTGAGGGACTCACTATAAACAGTGCTTCTCTCCCTAGCAGGTGCCCCATTGGGGAATTTTGTGTCTGTGAACTGAGAATAACACACTCCAAGGAACATTTTCCAGGAGAGGGCTTCTTCAGAGTGAGGTAGCTCTCACCATTCTGATCACCCTCAGAAGACATCCCGCCTGTCTCGTAGTCCTCATGGGGCGGAGGGCAGGATTGATCACTCGAGACATTATCATACAGTGCAGGATCAGATACATTCCACTCGGGGTGGCAGCTTTCCTGTAGAACAACAGAGGATTCTAATTATTGACTTATTCACTGAGTCTTCCTGTCAAAAAACTGAGCCCTTCAGATGTGGTTTCACACATATGCACCACACAAATGCAAATATTGAAATATGAATTGTCTTACAATTGAATGACTTCATGTTACCGTAAGTTGGACGCACAAAATTGATGGATAGAGAGTAAATTCTGTGAGTTTCCCCCTTTTAAATTAATGAAGGAATACAACTAGAAATAATTCCTTCTATAGAAAACGGACACATCCATTTCAAGAGAAACTGAAATACATCCACAGTGGGTTTGGTTAAAGCTCAGAGTGGAACCTGTGATGCAGGGGTGAAGACCACGCTGCATCGTAACGCAGCTGAGACAGACCACGTGGCCATTGCAAAGCTCTCAGCACAAGTAATGGCTTTCAGGATCAATGAAGTTTTTTGTTCTTTCTGTTTTGTAGTTTCTATTTATTGGTGGTTGGGTGGGTGGAGGGGCACACCATGCAGTGTCTAGGATCAGTTCTGTGGGTCTACGGTGTCTATAAGGAGTGCTGGATAAGGACCATCCATCCCTGTGCAAAGCAAGTATATTTCTCACTGCACCATCTCTAGGGTGCACAAATTAGCTTTCTAAACAACGACCACTGTGAAGCCAATCAAAATTCACAGTATTTTTATACATGGTTGATTTCAGCACCTAGCAAAGCTAAGAGTCCTCTACTCCAAGCATCAGGCTTTGAAATTTCTCCCAGCCAATCCCAGCCTGCCACCTTTACAATCACATACTTGGTCCACTCCTGCTGGCATAATAATATTTATTCTGTATTCGTGAATCTTACCAACTCACTCGTACTTGCTGACCCCATTCCCAAATCAAAGTGCTGTAATACCAAATTCTGAAGTCGCGGTTTCAGTTCTGAAACTGAAGAGAACATGCAATTCACACGTCACACATGTCACAATACGTAGCAAAATGATGCCATGTGGTTAAGAGTACATCTCTGTGGTTCTCAAAGTCCAAAGAGTCCCACACTAAACAAAAGATTCGGATAGTGGAAAACTGTGAGGATCTTGGCAATTCTACACTAGGTTATGTTTTTGTTTTTGAGCAGACCTGGTGATGTTCGGGGAACCAGGTTATTGAGCAGATTATTGAACAGGTCACATTCAGGCACTGCAAGGCGCTCCCTGCTGTACTATCGTTTAGATCCAAACTATCTCTGTTATGGTCTTACTTATTCGAAAGCCATGGAAGCAAATTACAGGATCATTCTGTTATTGACAGTCCAGGGAAATGAAGAGCAGCTTGAGTGCGGCATAGACCCCAGGATCTAGGAGACCAAGGCCCCAGTCTCAGCAGCGTGTTTCATACATGCTCAGGGCACCCATACACTGCACAGGGCCTGATCCAGGAAGGGTCCTCAGACACTCACCCGCACACACGCCTCTCCTACCCGACCTCAGAGCTCCTCCTTCCAGCCAGGAGATCACTGCAGGCTTCATTCCAGTGCGCCCTGCCCCAACAGAGACAGAGGCATGGATAAGTCACAGGGAAAAGGTGACAGGTAAATGCCCATGTTTTCCTGATATAAGTGGGCATATATCTGAAAAGCATGGAGAATGTCCATTTCCAAAATTTCACATATTTCTAGTTATTCGAGAGGTAAGACCCAAGAAAATATCACAAATACTCTACACCTGGCCTTGTGTATGGCCTACAGGGGGTTGATTAGCACAGTATGTTTTTGTTTTTTGTCTTGTTTTGGGTCTCAGCTGGAAACGATCAGGTGAGACTCCTGACTCTGTATTCAGAAATCACTGCTGCTGGTGCTAGGGGATGACATGGGTTGCCAGGGATTTAACCCACATGCGCCACTTCCAAGAAAATCACTTTCCTCCCTGTACTGTCTCTCTAGGCCCAGCAGCACATAGAGTTTCCTGAGCCCCTCATGAACTTTTCACGGATTTCAGTAAAACTAAGTGCATAATAAATCTGGAAATGTCCAAGGGTGACAAGAGACCCTTATTTTTTTAAGCTAAGAATGTATCCAGAAAGAGAGCACAGCACGAGTTTCTCATGGACAATCCAGTTGTGATACCCGATATCTCCTAGGGTCCCTCATGCCAGCCAGGAGTGATCCCTGAGTGCAGAGTCCAGAAGCAAACCCTAAGTCCTGCTGAAATCTCACAAGAACCATTAGAAGTAAATCAAAGCACTGAAATAGGGCAGCATCTTATGAGTTGAGAGACGAGATATCAAATCCCGTGTGGTGGGAAAGAGATAGTACAGCAGATAAGACAGAAGTGCTGCACACACATGTGGGTTTGATCCCAGGCATCCCATATGGTCTTGGAGCAAGGCCAGGTGTGGATCCTGAATACAGAGGCAGGAATAATCCCTAATCCCTATGGAAAAAAGAAAATGCAAAAACCGTGAGTGACTGGTGCAAAAGTACTGGGGGTGAGGCAACGACAATTTAACTTGCCAAGAGGTTTCAAGATACGGTTCCATATGGCCCCTGAACACTCTTATTAGTCATCCTTTAGCACAGAGCCAAGAGAACTGTGGACTGTGCCCCCCAAACAAAGGCAATAGCAAAACCAATTAAACACACAAAATTTTGTGTAGTACACAAAGTAAATTGTTGCAACAATGGATGGAACTATTTAAAGGGACCTGAGCGATAACTGGGCAGATAGGGATCTTCCCATGGACACAGTCGAAAATGGTTGATCTGAATCACCCCATAGAGTCCGGCGACCCCACAAGAGTAATTCCTGAAGACAAAACAGAGAGTAAGCCCTGAGTATCCACAGATGAACCCTAAAAAAATGAGGGAGGGCAGAGCTACTGCACGCCCGTCAGAGAGCTACTGTTGGACACACAGCTGCCGCCCAACCCCAGGGAGCCCACGCAGGTCTGTTTAGACATAGTTGGCTCCACACTGCTCTCACCGACAGCCTGCAGATTCTGGTAGGTCTCCAGCATCACGTCCCTGTAGAGCTTCCGCTGAGAGGCCTCCAGGCATGACCATTCTTCTGGGGTGAAGTTCACAGCCACATCACGGAAGGACACTGTGTCCTGAGTCAGCACACGAAGAGGGTGGGAGTCAGAGTCTATCTTAGTCTCATTCCCACTACTCTGAGGCCAGGTCCCAGGGTCCAATATTGTCGCTGGGCCTCTCCACTCCGAATGAACCAGCCTTCTTGCTCAAGCATGACTGATGGGATCCAAAAATCACAAAAGGCAACTGGATCTGCTAAAGTGGGAGGACGTTATACAGAAGTTTCTTGGATGTATCTGCCTTTCCTGGTAACCCCCCGGCCAATTCGAGCACTACTGGTCCAGTGAGCACTGTAGAGAGAATCACCTGGACACAGACTTGTACTATCCAAAAGACTATCCCTGGGTGTAGCAAAAACCACTGCACATTCACCGCTGCACCCCCACAGCTCATGACCACTAGGATTTAGAACTCGACAGTCCATATAGACAACTACTCAGAGCAGTGCATGGCATGTGTGCCTGTAAGAACTCACTGCACAGGACCGCCCCAAATCCCACTCAAAGAAGGTAGAAGTTTCTTGACCCCAACATCTCTACTGGCCGCAGAGATCCTTGGCTCTTTCTCCTTGGGATCACCGCATGCCCAGAAATCCACACACGATTATGTGAACGTAAGACTATATGACCGAGCAGGTAGTCTCTCCAAAGTAGGAAGGACAAAACAGGAGAAAAGCAAGTCTGGGGGCCCAAATCATTGTAGTTGCCAGGGCGCAAACGGGGCCAACACACCACAGGGTGCTCTGAGGCCAGTCAGTTGTGAATCCAGAGAACAGAGTCAAGAGGACAGCTGATGAAAAAAACAATGCAAAAGAAGCCGAAGCAGCAGGTTGGCGTAAGAGGACAGCTATTCCAGGGAAAGCATGTAGGACTGGCGATCCCCAACATCCCATATGGTCCATAAGCACTTCCAGGGAAATGCCAGAGTGAAGCACAAGGAATGATTGCGAGAATCCTTGCTCTGCCACCCCAAAGTAAACAGAAAACCCAAGATGAAACCTTTGAACCTCCAGCATCTGATTCATCACCTAGACCTTTCAGGAATGAGCATTGAGCACTGAGCTTTGAGTATTCCTCATGCACCACTGGGTCGGACCCAAAGTCAAATAAAACAAAACAAACATACACAAAAGCAGCTTCAAACAGCAGAATGGGACGGTCCGATCGGAAGTCTCATCTTGGAATCCGTACAAAAGAAACTGAAAACAGATGGT